CATTTTTTTTAACCTACTTTTCAGTTGATGGGCATTTGAATGGTTTGCAAGATTCAGCTATGACAAATTGTGCTGCTATGTAAGATTCAGCACATATATTGCTGTGGTATGATGTTTTTAGGTGTTTTGGAAACATACCTAGATGGGGAATAGCTGGCTTGAATGGGACCTTCAATCCTAGCTTTTTGAGAAATCTCCACACTGATTTTCATGTACAGTCTGTCTGTATTTTCATCAGCAGCGGAGAAGGGTTTCTTACTCCCCAAAGCCCCTCCAGCACTGTTACTGGTTGACTTTTTATTTTTTCAGTTTTGTATGTTGTGTAGGGTCTCACTACACAACTCAGTCTCATAATGATCCTCCTGTTTTCAGCCTCCGCAGTGCTAGAATTACAGGCATGCACCACCACACCTGGACTTGGTGGTCGGCACGGCATGTGGTGCTGGGGAAACCCTGGCCCCAGTGCTTGCCTAAAGAAGCATTTTGGTCTGCTGAGCTTCTCGCCAGCCCTTGACTTCTTGATGACAGCCATTCTTCGTGGGGTAAGATGAAATCTCAGCATTGTTTTACTTAGTATCTCATGAATAATCAATGATGTTGACCATTTTTTCATATATATATATCTTATATCACTTGCAACTACTTTGAAGATAGCATTGTGCACTGTTTTGAACATTATTGCTCTTGTACAATCTGCTTTGAAATTTTTATTTATTTTTTATAATGTATTACAGTTTATGCATCAATTTTCACTGTAGATTTTGAGGCCTTTGACGGTTGTGTTTAGATCTTTATTTTTTAGCTCTAGATCCAGTACCTCGTCCACAGCAGGTACTCTGATGATAGCCAGAAAGATAAGTGAGTTGACTTGGAGACCTATGCTGTTTCTGTGGGGACAGGAGGCAGAGAATAGGATAGGATTTAACTTCCACCTTGCTAGGTCTAGGGAAGCAAGACTTCACAATGGCTTCTGTGAAGGTTTTGACAAGGTGCAACCGGCTCCAGATTTTAAAACTGACATGGGAAGTAGGTAGAGTCAGAAGGAGAGCTAGTTGGGTAGCGAGGAATTGCAGGGGTGCAGGTAAGAAGGCACTACGATGAACTACAGTAAACAGCGAGTGGTAAACTAAATCTATCTCCATGTCAATAGGGGAAGAAAAGGAGTCCTTTTAGCTAGGCCAACTCAGAATGTACTTATGAAATATATGCAAATTTATGTGCAGGGGGAGCAAAAGCTAAATACTAAGTATTATTAACTATCATCTCTAAGATTTAGACACAGATGACAATTTTTCTGTCTAAAATAAGAGGGCAATCTAGATTTGATTTTGACCCAACCATTTATTGCTTGTATAATGCTTGGAAAGAGCTATGATGAATGTCATTGTGAATTTCAGTTTCTATATCCATGCATACCTCTGGATCAGTAATAACATGAAGTGTATAACTGGTTAATCTTCAGTACCTCATGCAGCTAAGGGTGTCAAGCTGTTAAAATGTGCAACACTGTTGTATCTCTAGGAAGATGAATATGTAGTTTCTTTCAAGGTTTCCTTAAATATTTATCTAAGTATAAAAAACAGCTAACAAAATGGCTATTCACAGTCACATGTTCAAATACAATACTGTATTAAGATTTCTATGTAAATATGGAAATTAAAAGCCAAAGATTCTGGTGGGGTGTGGTGGTGCACATCTGTAATCCTCAGGCTCTGGAGGCTGAGGCAGGAGGACTGCTGTGAGTTCAAGGCCAGCAGAATTGCATAGTGAGACTCTGTCTCAGAATGACAAAGATTCTGCCAAATTCTAAATATGGACAAATGTTAAATTGAGATTAGATGGATTTTAAATGTTTTTTAAAATTGTGACATGCTCTATCAAAATATAATAATAATGGAATAAAAAGGTGACACTGTATTTAGCTCCCTTAGAAAAGCTAACCTGACAATGTAATAGTAATTATAGTTTATTACAACCAGTATCTTAGTTTAAAAACTTTTCACTTGTCATTTATTTTCTCTTTAGCAATAACAATTTAAAACAGGCAAATGCTCAGAAATTATAAGGAAAAAGAACCCCCAACTAAATACCCACAATAATTTTTTTTTTTTAAATCTTGTATTTGGTACAGGGTCTTGCTATGTAGCTTGGACTTGTAGTGATCCTCCTGTCTCAGCTGCTGCAGCACTGGGATTGCAGGTATGTGCTACTATGCCAGGTTTCCATGGCCAGCATGGCATGCAGTACGGGGATCAAACTTGGGTCCTTGCAATTGCCACGCAAGTACTTAGACCACAGAGCTATCACCCCAGCCCCCCACAACAATTTTATAGTACCTGTAAATTCAAACTCTTCTAACTTTAAACATTCACCACAATATGATTCTATCCACTCTATTCATACTTCATTGTTACATTAATCCTTTAGTAGAATCTAGCCTCCTTTGGGGCTGGCGAGATAGCTCAGCAGTCTAAAGTGCCTGCTTAGGCAAGCACTCAGGGACCATGATTCAATCCCTGTACCATGTGCCATGCCAGCTTTTGCCCCCAGGGTGGGCTAAGCTGGTCACAAAAAAATAAAAAAAGAAAGAAAGAAAGAAAAGACAAGAAAAAAAAATCTAGTCTCCTTTAAGCTCTTAACCCCTATTTTTACTTATCTCTGAAACCTTGTGTGTAAGTACAGAGATACACTCTATTCTCAGCTCTTTCCCTTGACATCTGACAGAGGCCTACTTAAACTCAGGACTTTGACTACTCTCAACTGCAAAATTAGTACCTTACTACTAACTGTTCTGGTCTTTAATCTATATGATCTAGCTTTTCACAGCAAATTTTATCCTCTTCATTAGTTTTCATGTTTGTACAAGGTAACAAACTATTTCCACAAGACCTACACTAAAAAAAAATTCAAAAGTTAGACTTAATGTGAATTCTACTTCCTTCTTTCTTTCCTTTCCTTTCCTTTCCTTTCTTTCTCTGTCTTTCTTTTCTTTTTTTTTTTTTTTCTCAAAAGTTCTCAATATGCATCCCGGGCTGGCCTTGAACTTACAGCGACTTATAGGTATGCACCACCACACCTGGCCATCGTGTGAATTATTTTCTTCTAACTTTAATGAGGAAAATATTTTACTAAAGACATGTAGCAGATAAAACTAACATCTGCCGACTTAATTTTTGCCTAGTTAAAAAAAGTCAATCTAGATATAATGTTCTTCTAAAATTAAAGGTGTATGCCACCAAGCCGGACTGAAAACAACTTTTGAACACAAGAGTAAGTATTAGGGTTTTTAAAAGAGTAAGGATTCCTAGAAAATGAGTATTTGTAACTTGCTCTTTTATACACGGCTTCAGTAAAAACATGGAAATGCACACCAATAGGTAAGAATTACACAGAAAATTCTGAACTGCTCAGATTTATCATGGTTATAGATTAACATTTACATGAATGACCTCTACTATTTCAAGACAAACTGAACTACATCGAAGATTTATTTTTATATTTTGTTTCTTCTTCAATTGGAATTTACTCTTAGATTGAATTACCTCCAGAAGGTATTGCCCAAAAACATTCAGACTTCAACTGAAGGGTATAATACCAGGAAAAGGTAATGTCTAAACTTTTTCCTCTGAGGTTTAAGTTCATTTATAAGTTTTTTTTTTTTTTTTGGTGGTGGAGGTGGTGGTGATACTAGGAATTGAACCCAGAACCTTTACACCTTAAGTTCATTTAGTGGCCAAAATGAATTTCTTTTCCTTCTTTATTCTTTTTTAAACAAATCAAGTTTATGTTACTCTTTCATATCTTATTACTGTGAATGAACTCTTACAAATAATTCAAGATGAGAAACATACTTTATTCATATTGCCAGATATTTATCATTAGAAAATAATAAAAAACAAATAAACTGAGCAGGAGCCGTATTATTAAACTTATCAGGCTAGTCAAAACACAGTTGTTCAAATAATTTAAATTTGTACAATACTAAGTAAAATTCTAAAAATTTTATAGGTTGAATCTCATACATTCTAGGCAATGCCAGTTTAAAAAGCATTCAAATACTAAGAACTCTGTTAACTGATATTAGGCAAGTATCCTTTTTTGCAATCACAGTACTACCCCCATGAGAGGGAAAGACAAGAGAAAAAGACTTCCTTTTACACACAAGAGTAAGTACGGCAAATCTATTTCACAGATATAAGACAAAATTTGGTTTAACTGAAATAAATACCTAGGCATCCTATCCACAATTTTCAGACTATCATAAAAAATAAATATTTTTCACGAAAATATTAATCTATCATTTAGGTCATGATTAAGGTTTAAGGAAATGATGCTTGCTAAAAAGAAGACAACACTCTAAAATGTTGTTATTAGTTAAGAAGTTAGAGATAACAAGTTACAAATAAGCATTTTCTAGCAATCCTTACTCTTTTGAAAACCCTAATAATTATTCTTGTGTTCAAAAGTTGTTCCCAGTCAGGCTTGGTGGCATACACCTTTAATTTTAGCAAGAAAATTATATCTAGATTGACTTTTTTTTTTTTTTTATCTTTTTTATTTAGTTTGTACAGGGTCCTGCTACACAGCTTAGACTCGTTGTGATCCTCCTGTGTCAGCCTCCCCACAACTGAGATTACAGGTGTGCACCACCATGCTTGGTTTCAGTGGCCAGCTTAGTGCACCCAGGGTTCTGGGGCCCACACAGCATGTGATAGCAGGGATTGAACTCAGGTTCTTGTACTTGCCAGGCAGGTGCTTAGACTGCCAAGCTATCTCCCCAGCCCTAGATTGCCTTTTTCTAAGTAGGCAAAAATTAAGTCAGCAGATGTTAGTTTTATCTGCTACATGTCTTCAGTAAAATATTTTCCTCATTAAAATTAGCAGAAAAAACTTAGCATGAAAGTTTTTAGCATAAAAACTCGGTCTTATAGCCCATAATAAATTGTTAAATACAGAGGAAGGAAGAAAGACATACGTGAAGATCAAAACTTATCACTTACCTCATGATTCAGCTCTGCTATCTGATCTTTCAGTTCCCTAATGTACTGGTTAGAATCAGACTTGCTAAGCTGTCCTTGAAGCTTTCCTTCTTCTTTCTGTTTGGCATAATAAAACAAGGCAAAAATAAGAGACCATTATCATAGTATATACTCAAATGTTTCAGGATACAAGGTGGAATAAACATACACCTTTCAATTAGCTGAGTTCTGATCAAACCCATTCATAAAACTATCTTTGGAAATAATAGTGAACTAAGCTGAGTATTTCTGAATAATCTTCAATGGAAGTTGTTTATAACCCATACAACTTGCAAAATATACTTTTTGAGAAATCTTAGAAATTAATTATAAAACAGGTCCCCTGATGAAAAATTATCCTAGAATTTCAAGGCCATTTATCTAGTTTTGGGGCAGATGTTACTCTATCAAAACCATACTGAGACTCCTGCAGTTATACTGGGGAACTGGTTTTTGCATGAAAGGGAAAAAAGAAAAAAATTATTTCAATCACTCTAAAAGGGGTAACAACTCTTGAGTCTCCTCATATAATTAGTTTAGAAATGTGAACTGAAATCCAGATATTGCCGGACACGGTGGTGCAGACCTATAGTCCCAGCTATTTGGGAGGATGAGGTGGGAGGATCACTTGAGTCCAGACGTTCTGGGCTGTAGTGCGCTATGCTGATTGGGTATCCTTACTTTAAGTTTGGCATCAATATAGTGCCCTGCCAGGATCGGGGCACCACCAGGTTGCCTAAGGAGGGGTGAACCAGCCCAGGTTGGAAACGGAGCAGGTCAAAACTCCCGTGCTGAAATCCAGATATTGACTAAAAGATGATCTCAATCCTAAGAATTACTTTTCAAAGAGTGGTGGAACCATTTTCTAGGGACAAAGATTACAATTTTTATTCCACCTGTAAACAAATGTGAACTTCTTAGATAACAGACACCTTAAAAAGTCATGCTAGAGTTGTTTGTGACATTTCCAAATTATAATACTGAAGCCATGTGCTACTTAAAAATGTTTAAAGGGCTGGGGAGATAGCTCAGTAGAATAAGTGCTTGCTTGGCAAACAAAAGGTCCTGAGTTCAATCCCTGGTACTGCAAAAAAAAAAAAAAAAAAAAAAAAAAAAGTTTTGAAGTTGTGATCCAGAGACAGCCATCAAAATCACAAAAATCACTTCCTAATACCAGAAGAGAAGGGACTTACTTTTACAGCTGCCAGCTTTAGTTTCTTTCCCAAGTAGTTAATAATTTATTAGTGTAGTCGCCCCATGATGGTTCATACACATATGAGTACACACAAGTATACAGTTACTTGTTTTTCCCCATATCACCCTCTTTATATACTGTTCTGCACTTCACTGTATCTCTCAACAATATTAAAGATTATTCAATACTAGATTTTAGTTTGGAAGTCTCTGCAAAAGTTAGTTTTGAGTGTGTGCAGGTATAGAATCTGCCCCCAAATGTATACACATTTTAGCAGTTTGCTGCACTTATAAATGTCTAGAAACAAATGGCCACCACTTTGAGCACCTCTTGTAACTGCAGAGGCCAAAGCTAACTTCTATTAATTGCATGATGTCTCAATAAGTTTAGTATTAAAATATTTATTCAAATTTTTCTTTTACTGATGCATCATTTTTTGACGGACTCTACACACACACACACACTCACTCACTCACAGACATGTTTGGGTTTGGGGTATTTTTTTTCTTTTGTTTTGGAAGTCCTGCAGATTGAACCCAGGTTCTTCACACTGACCTACACCACTAGTCATTTTAGTTTTTGTTTTGACACAGGGTCTCATTAAGTGACTAAGTTGTCTGGACTGGGCTCAAACTTGTGATTTTCCTGCCTTAGCTTCACAGAGTGCTAGAATTAGAAACATGTGCCATAGCACCCAGCTTAG